CACTCTCACACAACAGTGTGATATGCCAGTTGGATGTCCCGATCATGGGAAACCTCCAGAAGGAATGAGTTTGGGAAGACACCAATGACACATTTCCATGGAGGGAGGTGAAATTCAAGTCTGATAGAGGTGAACTCGGATAGAGGTGAAGGAGAAGGAAAGTTGAATAGACAGAGAGGATGTAGAGAGCAAATTAGCTTGGCTGGAAAAGCAACGAATGCACACAATGAAGGATTTCCACTTATTAATCTTGTCTTGGAACCAAAATTAATCTTTTCCTAGACTTGTTAGGCTAACCAAATTTATTATCCTTGATGACAATAAGTCTTCCCAGGTTTAGGAAGAATTCTTAAACATACGATTTATTTTCCTGGGATGATTCCCAGACCCTTAATGCTACTCCTCAAAACTAATATTTTGGCATTTAATAAATCAGAGACATTAGGCCATGTACCAACATTAGCAATTTTGAAAAAATTCTCTAAATAATATTTAAAGTTGAAGTTGTTTTGATCTCATAATTTCTCTTATGACATGAGTTAATAAACGCTCTGGAACAAGATGGCCAAAAGCCTGTATTCAGGGTGAGAACAGTCTCCCTGCATCCCATCATTGGAGGAGCTTAACTATCCACACCCTAGGCTGTATCTGATGGGCTAACATGGTGTGGTGCCTTAGCCTTTTGAAACACTGCTAAGAGCATTATGAGTAAGGACTGTAGTGGAACTTTGGGATTTGAGAGTGAAGAGTGAGCTGCACTCTCACAAGAGCATAAAGTGGTGGCTAAGTACTGCTCCAGGTCGGGAACTTTATAGACACACCTACCTTGGTGGCTAGGCACAGCCATCACCATCATTCGCAAGGATGGTGATGCATATTATCCCTGAAGAAGCATTGAAACCATGCATCTGTCAAGTGAATACAAATTGGTCTGTCTATGGTGGTGTTTACTATCTCAAAACTCCAAATTCCACGAAAGTTATTAAACTGTTAATTTTCAAAGCTAAACCACTAATCATCACACCAACCTAAGCCCTTGGGCAGAGCTGGCAAATGGCCAAAAGTCAGTAAAATGATTAATCTAATTGTCCCCCAAGAGGAACCTCAGCAATGATCTAGTTCTTAATTCTTACTCTGCAAATGAGATAGACGCTCAGGCTTAAAGGTGGTGGATAACTTGCCTATGGTCCCTAGCCAGCGTGTATAGGATTACATTGGAATGCAAGGTTATTATTGACTAGCAATGACTTCTGCACCCTCCTTCAGCAAATAGGTCACTATCTCCTATGCCTAGAATATCTTCCTCCATCTTCTGTTATACAAATCTTTCTCACCTTTGTTCAGTTAGTTCTGCTTTACAACTTTGTTTTTAAGAGAATATGCATCTTAAATGTAGTTCAATATCGTCTAATACGGGACACATTTATTGAGTGCTAGACCTTGCATACACATTAGGTGGTGGAGGCTAAATCTTGCACACATATTAAGCATTCAGTGAATATTTACTGAAATAGACTATATATGGGTAGCTATTTTAGCATCAGACATGGGGGAAAAAGGAATGTGGGCAGTGGGGGATACAGCCATGGTGGTACACTAGTTATGATATAGTTTGGTCCCCAAAGAGGGCTGTAGTGGTGGTGATGGGAATGAAAATTAGAGGAAGAATGTCAAATGCATTTCAGAATAAAACTGGGTGTTTGGGAGAGGAAAAGGGGAGGAATGATAAGAATACTCTATTTTGCACTTTTTGACTATGAAGTACCAACTGGACACGCACTTGGAGAAGCCTGATACATGGTGAAATGCACAGCTGAGGCTCAGGTAAAAGGTTGAGGACTGAAGTCCATGGGGAGGAGATGACTTAGCTGTGGAGGGAGCACTTATCTTTCTAGAGGTTAGCACGCCTCTCCACTAAGACTCGCCTGCTGCCTTGGAATATGAGAACTAGACTAAAGATTAGCAGAGATAGTGAAAACAGAAAAAAAATGAACAGGATCAAAACCAGCGTCCCACACAGCGGGAGGCACTTACTCTCCTGCTCAGTCCGTTTTTGCTGTCCGTCCCTCCAAATGCCCTTCTCCTCCAGGAAGCCTTTCTGTTTTGACGAGATGAGAAATTCAGGCTCACCTGCCTCTTGTCCTAGATTTCGGCATACCTGTGCTTCTATCGGTGGCACACACAAGACTTAAGGATGATAAGTCTCTCTCAATAGTCATGCTAATTACATCATCCATCTGAATATCACCTTTTCATTATTTGTCCATTTTCCCACTCTTGCTTCCGATCCCAACAGCCTTCCCCTCCAGGCTCCATGAAGCCTATTGACAATACCCGGACAATCTCCACAAAGCTGGCTTTTATACAACCAAACTGTACAAAAAACACTTCATGTCACAGAGGAGAAACCTGCTTAAAACAGACTTTGGCTTTGTTAATATTCTGCATATGTTATAAGTACTCTTTAAATATGGCAAACATCTCTGTTTGATAAACCTCTAACTCAATTTCATTTTTAAATATTTGCACAATTTTCCACTAAAACATGCAATAACCATTGGTAGCAATGATGATTAAAATAGAAACAAGGAAACTGAATAAAGACAGCAGCCCACCAAGGCCACCCAAGTGGAGAAGCCAAACCACAAAGGAGCAGTAAACCCCTGGGACGAGGTCCTCAGGGAAAACCTTCAATTCCTCTTTTCCAAAGCAAACTTGCAGTCACTGTCAGTTTATCTTATCATCAGAGGGATGCCCAGCCAAACACTAGATAGCAAGAGCTTTGTTTTTATGTGTACATTACCCGAACAGCACCACAGCGTACCGCAATCAATGATCAGAATTTGAAACTCATCATATGTCGTCCTCTGTATTTCCCAAACCTGCACAACCTCCCCAAAGTCCACATCCCATTACCGACAACAGAATAATGAGGGCCTCCTAGGGATGAACTTAAAATCCAAAATTCTCATGGCTTATAATTTGAGCAGGTCTGAGTACTTAGCGTTTCCTATTGGATCCATCAACCCTTTCCTATCACAGACTGAAATGAACAATTTAAGCCATCTCAACCATTCCTTGACTTAGAGCACATGAAGATAAGGAGAATTCCCTGCAGAGCTCTCCCCACCACAGCAGCTAAAACTAGTGTCTCATCTTCTAAGGCAGCCCCTCCAGGAAAAGCCCACGCCAGACCCCCCCACACCCAGTAAAGGGAACTTTGCTGACAAATGTTTCTCATCTGAACCCAATCAGTTTATAGGGTCTTATATAAAGTTACGAATGTATTCCATATGCTCTCCATCTCTGGAATTCTGAGGCCTCCACCCAAACCAAAATCATATTATTATTTTTGTTGTTGTTGAACATTTGTTCTTTTTCACAAGTGCAAAGTGTAACACAATAATTTCATTAGAGTCTTATCATCTGGAGCCATCCTTGCACAATGCAGAGACTTCAAAAAAAGTGATTAGGAGAGATACATTGTCATTATTATAGTTTTGATATCATTCTCTCACCCAACTTAATCACTCATCTGTACCTTCCAAAGAGAGGGAGACATTTTGTTCACAGTGCTGACTTTTTGCATAACAATAGCCACATAGGAAAAGTAGAAAGAGCCCTGATCCTTCTAAACACTGGAAATCAGTGGTGCTCATACCTTCCAAGCCCAGATAAGAAATGATGCCAAGAGGAGCTGGGGATTTAGCTCAGCGGCAAAAGTGCCTGCCTGGCAAGCGCAAGGTCGTGAGTTCAGTTCCCGGTACCGGAGAAAAACCAAAAAAAAAAAAAAAAAAGAAAGAAATGATGCCAAGAAAAGTCACTAACACGCACTTGTCTTCTCTGTGGGAGAAGGTTTGCAAGTTATAAAAAATGATGGTCTGTGAGTCTCTGCCTGTCAGAGAACTTTCCAAGAAGGAGATAATTCACTAGCTGATTCTTGGGACTGCAGTGGCCCACTCGGGGCTTTATCTTCCATAATTTCTAAAATTCTAGGAAAATAACACCTTTCCACCTCCATCCCTACTCCAGAAACCTCAGCCCAAGTTCATAGGCCCATCAGTGTACTTGAACATTTCAGATAATTTTGATAGTAACCTAAATAGAAAAGATATGGAAGATTAATTATCCTGCTATAAAATAATATGCAACCTCTTTCAAAGCTCACAAGAAAAACCCACACTTTGGGACAGCTCCCTGATGCACACCTGTTTTCACCATTGATTCTCCATATGGCTCAGAATCAATGATTCTGCAGAGACACAACTGCCTGGGGAGCACACTGCTTAAATCAAATGTTAGCAACTTTTCCAGTGAACTAAAACCTCTAAACATAGACTTTTTTCAACTGCAGACTTCATAAGTTTAGTGACTCTTACCATTTGTCTGTTAGCCAGAACTAGCATGAGACAAAATGAAACAAAACAAAACAAAACAAAATGAATACAAACTATTAAAGAGAAAACTCAGAAACTGTCTTTCAACAGCTTCGGTTTTCATGGCCCAGGCTGCTTGTGTTTGCTGCTTCATAATGCAATGTAGAATGCAAGCATTTGTTTGCCGGGGGAAATTGCTCCTTACTTATTTGAGGAAATTCAATAGATCATATTTTATGGCATTCTGGAAAACTCTCATGACTTTTAAGCCCCCTTCCTGGACAGACATAATAAAAGTGAACAAGATCTTGAGCTCGGTCTGGGTCCCACCTCTTGGCAAGTTCTTCAACTAACCCTGACTTCTCCAAACCTCTTTCCACATCTGTAAAATGGAAATAATAGTATATCTTCCAAGAAGACTATTCTGGGGATGGATGTGATAGGGGATGTAGTACGCCCAGTATAACCAAGGCTCTCAGTAAGTGCTAGTGGTTGTTGTCAAGAGGACTAAATGCAGGCACATTTTTAATCTGCCTTTGTCCAATTCCTTACACTTCCTTACACAAGTGCAACTGCTTTCCCTCTCCACAACCCCAGTGAATATCTGCTGCTATTCCTCCACAGCTGCTGGGTCCTTGGGCTTCCCTGAGCTCCAGATAGCTGCCTGTGTCCCTACCTAACAGCACTTGGCTTCAGTGTCCTGTGTAAGCTCCTGCCATGAGCCTCCCCATCTCAGGAGCCATCAACAGCTCCCAGAAAGCTAAGGCTCCAGCAAAAGTGAAGCCAAAGAGCAAAGAAGGCATCTGCACATCTTCAAGCAAAGGGTATCTCCTCTCCCCAGACCAAAGCCTGCTGCTCCCCACAGAAGACCCGAGCAACTCTGCCCCAGGCCTTCCATCCAGGCCCAGGGTCACCCTCCCACAGCTTTGTCTGAATCAGGCCCAAGAGTTTCAGTCAAATGCAGAAAAGTGCAAACAGCCCTCTTTAACACAAAGAAAAGCAATCTCCATCCAGAAAGAGCCAGCCCTGGGAGAGGCAGAGCTGGGTGCTTCCTCACAAGGTGTTAATCAGCTGGCAGCCGAGCCGCATGGGAAAGGTTGTTCTGGAAGAGAGAAGAGAAGTTGGCTGTTATGGTCTCCAGCCCCCTCCCCAAAATGGCTCCAATTCTGGCCTCCTTAAGGTGAATCTAATTGTTCAAACAAGATTAAACAAGGATGGAATTTGACAGAAGGAAGAAAAAAAAAAAATTTAAGCAAGGGTATTTTTCTTCCCAAAGATCCTAAACAAATCTAAACTGTAGGGACAGCTTTAACTTGGTAATTAAAAAATAAAATGTTCCAGGTTAAAAGTGTCCAATGGAAAGTGTCCAGCAGCAATTAATTTCCTAGGGTCAACATCATACAAAAGAACAATGAACCCAGAGCCACCACGTTTAATATGCTTTAGAGGAAAAAAGGTCACAGGAAACTTTCCAGTCTTAATGCTTTTCTACTTAGAAAACCACCATCAATCCTAGATATAACATAAGAAAATAATGTAGTCAGAGCCCAAACAGCTTCATAATAGATCCACCTAGAGAGACTCAGGGTCCAACTTTCAATTCATACATTTACCAATTTAGTCATTCATCAAATATTTGGTTGACACCCCCCCCCTCACTCCGCACCAGGTATAAAGCTAAGCACTTGAGCTACAACCAGGAGGCCAACAGAAAAGACTCCTTCACTCAAGGAGTCCATAGACTCCTGGAGCACAAGGCTCTAAATCTGCTACATTGGATGCTACATAAACAGGGAGGAAACATGATCCATTCTGCACAGAAAAGTCACTGAACCAAGGAGCTACTTTAAGTGAGAGGTGACATATTCCCTGGTCTCTAATGGAGAAGGACCTCTTCAGCAAAACAGTAGAACCAGGAGCTTTTCAAGTGAGACATAGGCGTCCCTAGGCATGCCACGTGCTGAGGACCTACTGGGGAAGAAAGATTGTTGTGCCCAGCTTGCTGAAATGTCACTGATTGTCTTGCAGAGGCCTGACTTTGTCCTGTGGCTCTCAGAGCATCCCCAAAGGCACACAGACACTGTAAAGAGAATGCTGGATCAAGAGTCAGGAAACCCAGGGAGATGCCAATCCTTAGCCACAAGACCTTGGGCAAGAGACATCCCCCTCGGGGCCCCAGCTTTCTCCTCTGCCAAAAGAGAGAATATTCAGGGGATGATATTTTACTCTACAAGAGGTAAATGAAGCAATAAAGAGTAGAGGCTTGGTTTAGAAACAGATTAAGGCAATCTCTACTTGGAAAGGCTCCTCACATCCCTGGGCCTTGCAGTTCACTTATCTAGACCACACACATCAGGACACATGCGCTCACACGTGTACACACTCGCTCACACTCCTCCAATGCATTCGCTCACCAAAGGGTGCTAAGATTTAAGGGCCGCACATAGCCACAGTCTCTGTGGGATAAAGGTAAAGCTCCCTAGCACAGAAGAAAAAGTCCTCATAACTGCAGTCTCATGTCACACAGCTTTGTTAGAGAGACCTTCCGGCTCCATCCGTCCCTCCCCAGCCCCAGTTCCTCTGATAGCTGCTTAGCCTCACAAACTTGCTCCTTGGCCCACACGCTGCCTCTGCCGGTGATGCCTTTTGCTGCTCTTACTCACTCGGTAAGATCCTACTCACTCTTGAAACTTGCTCAAGACTGGTCACCTCAGCAAAGCTTTCCCAAGGCTGTGATCGCGCCCTCCTGCTCGTACTTCTATCCTTGAGGGTCATTGGCTTTCCTTGTCCTATTTGCTACTGATGATGAATTCCTCAAATCACTGTGTGGCTGCAGTCCTTGAGTCCCCGCCACCTAGATTGTACCTGGACATACCATACCCTTAGCAGGTGTTTGTTGAACTAAATACTTTCATTTTTACTTAACTGTCCTGATTGTATGCACAAAATTACAGGATGAATCCTGGATGGTTTGGGGAGGAAATCAGGGTTTCCCAGGGCTAAATTACCCGGCAAAAAACTGTCCAGTATAGGTTGAGGACCCATCAACTTCTCTGTATTTTCAACTTTTTAACAACTCCACATCAGTCTGTGGAAGGAGCAAGAAACCAGGTAGACCATGCAAAGTTGTCCAGCCATTTGTCATTTTGATTAAGTCACAGAATTCCAGGATTAGGAGGCATCCTAGAAGCCCCTGAAACCTTCCATCTCTACGTCTCTGATGGATGTTCATTCAAACTCAGTGGATCGAAATACATCATATTCTTGACTGGTTGTTAGATAATTCTCCCCCATTTAATCCCTATAGTTCACCCGGAATTGCTTTTATGCCAGTCTCAATAAAGTCCCATTCAAATAACAGTCTAACTACCAAGAATAGGTAAAAGTTCTATTCAAAATTGTCCTGGAATTTTTCAAAGATTATTAAGAGGCAAAAAATAATAAACCATAGACAACTTATAATCTTTTTCCCCTATATTTCCCTTTTGATCAGTGCAGAGGCTCCAAAGCTCTTCTTTTTTTGAGGAAAAGAAGATTCTTTCATTCCATTCCATTCTTCCATTCCCAACCAAGCCAGCAAAGCCTCCCTCCGCAGTGCTCTATCCTAACCTGCCCTCTTACTGCAGATAGTCTTAATCTCTCTAGCTTTTTTTATTCTCAAGACAGGGTTTTGCTCTGCAGTTCAGGTTGGCCTTGACATTACTATGTAGCCCAGGCTGGCCTCAAACTCATAGTAATCTTCCTGCCTCAGCCTCCCAAGTACTAGGATTACAGGTGTGCACCACCATGCTCAGTCTCTCTAGCTTTTTCATTTTCTGTCATTTCCTCTTGTACCCTACTCTCCCAACTCTTCTCTATAAAAGAAGTCCCAGAAGCTTCTTTGGTATTGGGAACACATAATTCATTTACTCGTGGTATACGGCATGTTGGTGGAAATGGAAGTATCCACATGACAGGAAGCCATCAGGATTTACCTAAGTCTTTTCTTCTCCAATCTACAGAACACCCACCCCGCCCCACACCTGGTTTCAACTGACCCTCCAATAGCACAGTGCCCAGAGCCTCTGGTCCCCTCCTTTCATTCTACCCATGCATAATTTCCACTGTCCTTTAAAAAAGAGATGCACAAGAATTAAATGTGGTTTCACAACACTAAGCAAGTGGAGCTGCAGCGAGAAAGAAACTTTGGCATGAAACTGAAGAAAGCATAACCATTATAGCATTTAAATAAAAAAATAATACTACAGCACTGTTCAAAACTGGATCCTAGAAAGTAAGGAAAGGTCTGAATTTACCATAGTTGAAAGTTGTTTTCATCATGGGATCCATAAAATGAGAGAAGAGTAAGGAGGGAAAGAGAAGCTACCTCTGAAGAGAATGACAGGAGCCAGGATGGCGCTGGCCAGAGCATCAGTGCCTCTGAAGGTCACGCTCAGGCTCTGAGTGACCACAGGAACGGGCTCAGAAAATGTCGCGGCTAGCTGCTTCCTGTGAAGCGCACAGCCAGAGTGCCCTCTAGTGGGGGGAACAAGCCCTTCAGGTGGGTCAGTCGGCATTGATTTAAATCTTTCTTTACCTTCCTCAGGGTCATTCATTCAACAGACAATGGTTGAGTTCCCAGCACGTGCTAAACACCGTGATGAGCTCTGGGGAGACATGAGAAGAAGACATGATCACTGTGGGGGGTGTGTGTGTGTGTGTGTGTGTGTGTGTGTGTGTGTGTGTGTGTACAAAGGTGGTGCCCAGGAAGGTCTTCCCAACAAAGGTGACCCTCACACTTAGGGCATGTTTGCCAGATAGGGATGGGGTGGGCATGCCAGGCAGAATAGCACAAATGAGATCCTCTGCCCCATCAGGCAGAGAAAGCAGGTGAAGGTCATGGTCAAGAAGGAAGCTGGAGAGAGGTAGAGGGTGGGATCATGAAGAGTTTGGCCTTCCTTTTTAAAATAGGAAGCCAAAAAGGCATAAGTCCATTTTACAGATTTCTAAAAGGATCACCCTGGTAAAGGAAACAGAAGTTCAACTGCAGCAAAACAGAACCGGTAACACACAGAAAACAAGAGCTTTCAATGAGGGTCAGGATGAAGGAATAGAAAGGAGGAAGAGAAGTGAAGGAGAGCAGGTCAACAGGGCTTGGTTACAGGCTGGGGGACTCAGGCTGCACCAGCTGGCTTGATGCTTATGTCATTCATCAGACTAGGAATAACTGAGAAGGAGCAGAAGAGGAAAAAGAGTGGGGATGCAATTGTGAGCATATAGAATTGAATGTGCCTGCGAGACAACCAAGAGGAAATGCTGCGAGGTAATTGGTAATTGACTGTTTAGTCTAACGCTCTGGGAGATGACTGGGGGCTGGCAGGGATCTATGGCACTGGAAAGGAAACGCTCTCTCAAGGTAGTAGTCAAATGATGAGAGAAAAGGGCCAAGGACAGAGTGTTAAGGAAAGTTCATGTTTAGGAGAGAGTGACAGAAATGCAACCCTCCGTGGAGATAAGAAGAAAGATTGGCAGGTAAAGGAACCAGAAAAGAGCTAAAGCCAGGAAAGAGAGATTCAAGAAGGGTATGACTGACCTCTTCAAAGTGAGACCAAGACAAACCAAATCTTGCACTGAGTTAGAGTAAATGGAGAGGGGAGGGGGGAAGGGAAGTAAAAAGAATTAAAATGTGCTGTGTACATGTACCAGCTCCCCTTGAGGAATGTTACCACTATGTACAGC